CCGCCGGCTCCCAGCGTGTGATGTTTGGGTCAGTTGGACGAACGTTGTTAGAGATGCAACCATTAGTTTTCATGCCGCGTCTGCCAGTCAATTTCTCAGGTCCGTAGCTGCAGTATTACTATCAAAACACATGGCGGAAACGACGTCGGATGCGAACCGAAAAACATGTATTTTCGAATGTTTAAGCTGATGCTGAAGAAAGCTTTCTTCTTGTGTACCTCGTAAAGCTCTTTAGTCCGCGATGAGCCAGAGAAATTCCGGGGCGGGGTGGAGCTAGTTGGCCCACCCGGCCCGGGCGGTCAATGTTTGAAGTTTGGGTCGGTTGGACGAACATAGTGAGAAATGCCTCGTGCAGCTCTTCGGCGTCGACGAGCTAGAGGAATTCCGGCGCGGGGTGGAGCTAGTTGCCCCACCCGGCTCGGGCGTGCAATGCGGTGACATTTTTTTTGTTTGTTTGTTCGTTTGTTTGTTTTTTGTTGAAGATTGTGAGAGATTTGACCATTCGTTGTGAGAGCTGGTATTTTTCGCACCTGTAGTGGGTTATGCCGCGAATGACAGTCAAATTTTCAGGCCTGTAAGCTTCAGTATTACTCGCGAAAAAGTTGGAGCAACCGACGCCGTATAAAACGCGGAAAAATACATTTTGTGATTTTTCAAACTGATTTTCAAGAACGCTGTCTACTCGTAATATGAGCACTGATTTGCGGGTTGTGCTCTACGAGGCTTCCAGCGGTAACCTGGTTGACGGTTTACCGCCGGTTCCCAGCAATACCTCGCTGAGCTCTTCGGCATCAGTGAGCTAGAGGAATTGTGGCGTGGGGTGGAGCTTGTTGGCCCACCCGGCCCGGGCGAGACGACTTCGTATAAAACCCCCCAAAATGCATCTTGCGAGTGACTCGTAGAGCTTCCCTAAGAGCGAAGCGGCAAGCTAGAGAGTAGTTCTGGCGCGCTGGCTGGCTAGTTGGCCCGAAAAAATTCGACGGACATTTTGCATAATTTTGGTCGGTTGAAAGTCAATTTCTCGAAATTCGAACATGTGTTAGATCTCTTTTATTTTTCCCCTATCTTCGATATCATTCCCGCTCGCCATCTTAATCTCAGGTCGATCGCGTGGACATTATTGTCAAAATAACATGTGGGCGGGATCGGCTGTGGAGTGTCATCTTGGCAGGTGCTGTCGGTTTTCTTAACCAAACTCGGGCTGCAGGTGAACTACAGAGCTGTTCGGCACAGCAATCGAAAAGGGAACACGAGTCTCAAGTATCTAGTTGCCCGAACTCGGTCTGCTTTCAGAACTGGGACCAAACAACTACTCGTACTCTGCTAATGTTTAAGAGATTTTTTGGGTATATATATATATATATAGATATATCTTAACTCGAGCTGCAGATGAGCTAGACAGCTCTTCGGCACAGCAATCGGAAGGACATCATCAGGGGTGCTAGTATCGAGTATGTAGATGCCTGAAATCGGTCTGCTACCAGAGCGGGAACTAAACGAATGTTCGCACTCTGCTATCTTTTTAAGAGCGGATGATAGTTTTCTATACTTTTTTCGAGCTCTAGGCTGTCTATGGAGCTGAAAATCGTTTTCAGACGCAGAAGGTCACCAGGTGCATTCGCCTGCGGTTTCGAGACGTCTGGATCCGGCCTGCAACCATAGCTGCAATTGGAAAAAGTATTCGCTTTGTAAATATTTTCTGAGAGATGAGGTGCGCTTCCTGAATTGAATTCGACATCAAGGCCAGTTTAGAAGCTGAGATGCGGACCGATCGACAGAAAATGCTGCGAAGCATCGGTCTACAGTCTAGACGCCTGTGATCGGTTTGCTACCAGAGCTGCAACCAAATAATTATCTGCATCCTTTCATTTTTAAGAGAGACGGGGGTTGGATTTCACTTAATTGGAGTTATAGGCAAGCGAGAAAACTTGGAAGCACACCGCTGACCAGGACATCATCAGACACAGTCGCCTATAGTGTCGAAGCGTCTGAGATTGGTCTGCTAGCAGAGCTACACCTGAGCACTTTGCAATATTCTGTCAGAGAGAATATTTGTTTTCTGTATTCAATTCGAGCTATAAGCTAAATATGGAGCTCTTATATACACCAATCTACAGGATATGCTGGGAAGCGCAATTCGAAAGCATTTATACGGCTGGGATCGGTCTGCTTCCAGAAGTGCGATTAAACAATTATGTATGTTCTTCAATTTTCAGATCGGCAGTGTCTTAATTCGAGCTGTACGCAAGCTACAGAACTGGGAGCGGACTGTTCGAATGGGAGTGGTCACGAGCGCTAGTCTTCGTTCAGTATCGAGACGAACTCGAGCTGTGGACAAGCATGGAGCTGTGAAGCAACTTCTTGCCCTCCTCCTCCTTCTCTTGCTCCTCCTCTTCTTCCCCCTCTTTTTCCTTCTCCTTTTCCTCCTCCTCCCCCTCCTCGTTCCTCTTCTTCTCCTCCTCCTTCGCCTCCTCCTCTTCCTCCTCCTCCTCCTTTTTTATCTCCTCTCCCTCCGCCTCCTTCTTCTCCTGTTCTTCCTCCTCTCCCCTCCTCCTCCTCCTCCTCCTCCTCCTCCTCCTCCTCCTCCTTCTCTTCCTCCTCCATCTGCTCCGTCTCCTCTTTCTCCTCTTCCTCCTTCTCTTCCTCCTCCTCCTCCTCCTCATATTCATCATCATCATCCTTCTCCCCCTCCACCCTTCCCCTCCTCCTGCTCGCCATCTCCTCCTCTTCCTTCTTCTCCCCCTCCTTCTCCTCCTCCTGCTCCTTCTCCTCCCCCTCCTTCTCTTCCTCAGCCTCCTCCACCTCCTTCTCCTCCTCGCTCATTCTTCTCCTCCGCGTCCTCCTCCATGAGACCGCACCCTCGCGCGCGCGGAATGCGAGATTGCCGCGCCCGCATGCCATTCATGTATATCGCAAGGAAACTCTAGGAGTTCCTGGCGGTAATCAAGGTTGACGGTTCACCGCCGGCTCCCAGTGTTGAAAAGCACCAGTCTAAAGTACTTAGACGCCTGGAATTGATCTGCGACCAGCGACCACTAATCATTTGTACTTTGTCATTTTTATGAGAGAGGGTGTCAGATCTCTCTGTATTAATTCGAGTTATAGGCAAGCTAGAAAACTGGGAAACACACCGCTCAACAGGAAACCATCAGACAGAGTGCCCTACAGCATCGAGACGTCTGAAATTGGTCTTCTACCAGAGCTACAACTGAACAAGAACTTACACTGTAAATTGTTATGAAAGATCTTGTTTTTTGTACTTTATTCGAGGTGTAGGCTAGATACGGAGCTGAGGTACACACACCAACGGACAGAAACATGTGATAAACGCTAGTTGAGGACATTTAGATGGCCGGGATCGGTCTGCTACCGAACTGCAATTAACAAATCATCAGTGCTCTTCAAATTCCAGATAGGCGGTGTTGGTTCTCTCTATTCATTTCGCGCTGAAGGCAAGCTACAGAGCTGGGAAGCAAACTGTTCGAAGGGAGTGATCACGAGCGCTAGTGTGCAGTATCGAGGCGAACTCGAGCTGAAACCGCACCCTCGCGCGCGCGCGGAACGCGATATTGCCGCGCTCGCATGCCATTCGTGTATATTGCAGGAAGCTCTACGAGCTTCTGGCGGTAACCAGGGTTCACGGTTTACCGCCAGCTCCCAGTTCGTGGCTTAGGTGCCGCCAGGTTGAAGAAGGCGGGTGTTCGGTTTTGTCGTCAGGTTCCAGGTGTGCGATCACGTCTTGTTCGGCAGTCACGGATCGAAGGTTCAGGAGTGTCGGGTGGGACAGTTAAAAGTGGGTGCTTGTACGTGCTCTCTCTTGCAACCTTTGGTATCCTGGGGTCAGCTTGGGTTATATTTTGGACAGCTCGGGGCCTCAACAAAAGTGGTATTTCTGAGGGGAATGTACGGTCTCTGCGGTTCATTCCGGGACCAGAACAGGAGGGAGGATGCGGAGTTGAAGGAGGAGGACGACGACGACGACGAAAAGGTGGGCGAGCTGGGAAAAGGAGCAGGAGGGCCTGCTGCCCGCGTTGTTCCACGATCACACGTGTATTGAAATTATACGGCCTACGCTTATCAGAGGGGCGGGTGGGGGTCAGGGATGGCTGCTGATTGGGGCCTCCCGCTTTTGCGCTAGAGCTTTCACATATTGCACTCGGCCTCACTTCCGCCGCACCGCAGACTGAAACGCACAGGTGCTGCCAGTGCTCTCCCGACATGGTTGCTATCACGGTTCCGCGGTTCTGGGAGTGTCCAGCAGTGCTGGGAACTCCGAGAACCGCACCCTATGTGGAGGACATCACACGTCGGAAGGTGGTAAAACGAGGATAAGTCCGCTCCAGGACGTCCCGGAACGCTCTCGGAGAGTTCTGGAACGCTCGGAGGAGGCCGCGGCGCCCAAGATATCCTCCAGAGCCGCTGGATCTCAGAGATTCTCGATGTTACACTGATCCGATATTACCCTCGTCTTGGCCTCGTCCTACAGAGGGGCCGTACCCGGACCAGGCGCATCCCGGAACCTCCGGGAGAGGCCTCCCCGTTTTTTGGCCATTGCGAGGCGGAGTCCCGTCCAGCCCCAGAGAGCCGCCGCCTCCGACCGCCCGCGTGCCACAGGCAGGCAGCAGCCCTGGGGCAGGGTGCCTCCCTCGATTTGCTCTCAGCTTCGGCTGGCCACTCGGCAGAGATATCAACGCGTTTGCCGCATGCGATGTGCTGCGAACCGCGGTCTGTCACCGCGCAGAAGACGCATGGCAGGGCCCTGGTTTGTGCAAAGTTGCCTGCGCAATTAATCTTGTGCACAGCCAGGGCCCTGCCTCCTCCCCGCGGTGCAGTGCACCGAGCTGCTGTCGCAATGCAAGGGGATGATGATGTGTGCTTTCTTCTTCGGACCTTGATTGCAAACGCTCCAAACACGTGTCTCCGTTGTTTGCTTTTGCGCCGCCTTTGGTGTTTTCTGATCTTTTATTTGCTGCATGCGCTAGGTTGCGCTCACTGCATGTTTTGGCTTAGGATGGCCTCAGCCAGCGCGAGAGACCGAAAACATCGGTCATTGCCGCTGGGCTCAGAGAGCGGCGTCACGAAGGGCGCGCGGTCCTGCAGGGGCCCGTCGTTTCTTCCTTCTCCCTGCCGCCTCGTCGTTTGTTTCCTCCTTTTTGCTCGTGTCCTCGTCGTCGTCGTCCTCCTCCTCCTCCGAGCAGTGTGGGCGGGCGCGGCGGTATCCCCGGGCCGACGCCCGTGCTGGGAGATGCAAGACGTCCTGCGATGCTCCCAGGATGGCCCAAGATGCTTCCAAGAAGGGCTCCAGAAGAGCCCGATATGGGGAGGTCTACAGGTCCCCGGCGGCCCTTCCTCCCAAGATCGCCCCCAAGATGCCCCCAAGATGCCCCCAGAAGGCCCCCCAAACCCGTCAGAGTCCCCCAAGAAACCTCTGAAAGACTCCTAGAGTCCCCCGTAGAAGTCCCCCTCTAAAAGAGGCCATTCTGGCCTAAGCCTCTCCCGCAGTTGGCTGCAACTTGGAACGTCGCAGGTGCGAGCCCCGTCCCTTGCCAGCCAGCAGGTCGTCGGCGCCGTCGCGATGGGCTGCTGTGTCGCGCGTGGCGCGTGCGCAGCTGACCGCTCGGCCCTCAAGGAGGACCCCCCGCTGGAGCCCGCGGGCGGCGACGGCGCGCCCGGCGGAGAGGCCAGCGAGAGGCAGCCACACATGCCGGTGTTGCAGGAGGTCGAATGTTCAGCTGACCGCCCGGCCCTCGAGGAGGACCCCCCGCTGGAGCCCGCGGGCGGCGACGGCGCGCCCGGCGGAGAGGCGGGCGAGCAGCAGCCACACATGCCGGTGTTGCAGGAGGTCGAATATGACACGGTGGAGAAGTACAACCAGTGGCAGCGGCTGGGCGGCTTCGAGTTAAGTTCCGTGCTAACGAGCGGAGCGGCGCTCCTATTGGACGCGGAGTGGATGGTTCAGCAGGCAGAGTCTAGCGGGATTCTGAAGCCGCGCCAGGCCTTGCCACCGGCCGCGTTCCAGTCGTACTCTGGGGTCTTGGCTGGCACGCCTGCCTGCTCTACGCCCGTTCCCAAACTGCACGTAGTCTGTGTTTCACACTGTTGGCTGCAGGCGGACCATCCGGACCCACGCGGGCACAACCTGCGTATCTTGGCCAGGGCCTTGCGGCTGTTGGACGCACACGTGTATGGGCCTAGGCCCCAGCGCATGGGCCGTTGGGCGGTGTTCATGGACTTATGCTGCATACATCAGAACTGCCGGGATAGCAAGGGCGTTCCTCAGCAGCGCACGTATCAGCGGCTGGAGGGATCCGACAAATTCGCGGACGGCGCGATCGGCCGCTTCGACTCCGAGAATGTCCTCTTTAAGGAGGCGTTGGGGAGCCTTGGGAGCTTCTACTCGCACCCCTGCACATATGTCTTCATGCTGACCAAGTTCCCGGAAGACTATCAGACTGCAGCCTACACCCACTCTGGTAATCCGTAAGGGCTTCGCCCCCTGCCGCCGGCCCCCTCTCTCAGAGAATGGGCCATGGAAGAGCGAAGTCATGGGGCTTTGGCTTCGCCATGAAGCAGTGTTAGGACCTGTTTGTTTTTCGACCCTGACCCTACGGACCTGCGTGAGGGGTGCCACCGAATTTCAGAAATGTAGCAAATCTTTTGTGTTTTTGGACCCTGACCCTACGGATCTGCGTGAGGGGTGCCGCCGAATTTCAGAAATGTGTTAAATCCCTTGGTTTTTAGACCCTGACCCCGCCGATCTGCGTGAGGGGTGCCGCCGAATTTCAGAAATGTGGCAACTCCTTTGTGTTTTTGGACGCTGACCCCGCCGATCTGCGTGAGGGGTGCCGCCGAATTTCAGAAATGTAGCAAATCCCTTTGTGTTTTTTGACCCTGACCCCGCCGATCTGCGTGAGGGGTGTTGCCGAATTTCAGAAATGTGGCAAATCCCTTGGGTTTTTGGACCCTGACTCCGCCGATCTGCGTGAGGGGTGCCGCTGAATTTCAGAAATGTGGCAAATCCTTTGTCTTTTTGGACCCTGACCCCGCCGATCTGCGTGAGGGGTGTTGCCGAATTTCGGAAATGTGGCAAATCCCGTATCTTTTTGGACCCTGACCCCGCCGATCTGCATGAGGGGTGCCGCCGAATTTTAGAAATGTGGCAAATCCTTAATGTTTTTGGACCCTGACCCCGCCGATCTGCGTGAGGGGTGCCGCCGAATAAAAAAGAATGTTGCAAATCCTTTGTGTTTTTGGACGCTGACCCCGCCGATCTGCGTGAGGGGTGTCACTGAATTTTAAAAGTGTGGCAACTCCTTTGTGTTTTTGGACGCTGACCCCGCCGATCTGCGTGAGGGGTGCAACCGAATTTCAGAAATGTGGCAAAGCCTTTGTGTTTTTGGACCCTGATCCCGCCGATCTGTGTGAGGGGTGTCAGGAAATTTCAGAAATGTGGCAAATCCTTTATCTTTTTGGACCCTGACCCCGCCGATCTGCGTGATGGGTGCCACCGAATTTTAGAAATGTGGCAAATCCTATCCATGTGTTTTGGGACCCTGACCCCGCCGATCTGCGTGAGGGGTTCAAATTTTCACCCACCCCAGCAATTCAGACAATACGATTTCTCCGTAGTAAAAATGCTGGTTTTGGACCTCCCCCCCTCGCGCGGTCCATCAACAAGGAACACTAAGCAGCAAGAAGCAGAACCGGAACAAGGAACAGTAAGCAGCAAGAAGCAGAATTGTAACAGTGGAAACTGGAAGCTGCAACTGGTACAGGAAACTGCAAAGATTAGGCCTACAGCCTGGTGGCCCCGCAAGGGTGCCAGCGGATACAGAGCAGTATTTTAATCGGGGATGGTGTTACTGCGAGTCTTCATGGGCAGTGTTGACAAAGCCTTCGGACCTGACCCTCAATCTCGGACTGTCGACGGGGGACGAGATTTCCTACAGCAAGTTGGTGGAGGTTTGCTCGGCGGAGCGGAAGCCACCCGTCTTCCCGGACGCATTTGAAGTTGAGCTTCAGAGGAAAGCCTTTACGAACGGCAAGGACGATCGCCCAAGGGTCGCTGAGCTCTACCGCGATGCCTTCGCGCAGCGGCTCAAGTACTCACAGCGTCTGTCTTTCCGCAATCTGCAATGGGACGCCGAGCATATGAAGCAGTTGGTCACCGCCCTCGCCGCCTCGGGTGGCGGGCCGAACCTGCAGCTGCTCGACCTCTGCGGCAACCGCGCGGGGGACGAGGGCGTCGCGCTCTTGGTAGAGGCGCTCCGGGCGCCCGGCGCCTTCCCGAAGCTCCGCGAGCTGAACCTCCGCGAGAACCAGATCGGAGCCGCGGGCGCGGCGCACCTGGCAGAGGCATTCCGGGCGCCCGGCGCCTTCCCGGAGCTCTGCGAGCTGAACCTCAGCGAGAACCAGATCGGAGCCGCGGGCGCGGAAAAAATGGCAAGGGCGCTCCAGGCGTCGGGCACGCTGCCCAAGCTGGAGATTCTGCTCCTCGACGGGAATGGGATCGGGAACGTGGGCGCGTTGCACCTGAAGAATGTGCTGCTTGCGCCGGAGGCCGTGCCGAGGCTGCAGAGGCTGACGCTTCGGGGCAACATGATCGGAAAACGAACGAGGATCGAGCTGAAAGGATGCGGCCTGGGTCGACTGCCGGTCAGGTGGTCATTCCGGTGGCAATTCGACGACTCGGACTGACGCGCACAGGCTCTACATGTATAGCGAGAGAGAGGGAGCGGGGTGGAGAGGGAGAGACAGTGAGAGCATGGCACGGAAGAGAGAGAGAGAGAGAGAGAACGAGACCGTAGCGGAGTAGGGAGAGAGGAGAGAGTGTATTCGCGGCCCATTCGTTGCAAGCTTGCACAAACCAGATTTTTCGAGGCTTCTAAGACTCCGGTGGATGGCTCTCGCAAGTGCCCACCATTCAGGGATTGTCCGTTGTGCGGGACTTCTGCGACTCCTGTGCACGGCTCGCGTCAATTCACACAACTCTCGGTGGCTGTCCGTTGCACAGGATCTCTGAGACTTGTTTGCAAGGCCCGCGCCAATTCGCACCAGTCTTTGGTGTTGTCTGTCTGACAAGGCTTTTATGCAGCGCCAATCTTGCCAATTCGCGACCACGGCCAGATTAAGATAGGATGCGCCAAAGAGTGATGTCCAGGTTGTGAGAAAACAAAGATGGGGAAGTCTATAGGTTCCGGGCGGCCCTTCCTCCAAAAATCGCCCCCAATACACCCAAGAGGCCCCCAGAAGGCCCCCCAAACCCGTCAGAGTCCCCCAAGAAACCTCTGAAAGACTCCAAGAGGCCCCCCTAAGAAAATCCGCATCAGATTTCAAGAGACCTCCAGCAGGCATGAGGCAGATGCCTTGGACTAGAACCTGAGCGCGCGCGAAACGCGCGTTATTCGAGTCTGGGCAAATCTGCCGTCATCTGGGTCATCACTTGGATAGCTGTGCCACGAATCGAAGCTGAAGTGGGTCTCTGATCGACTCCATGCGGTCCATTGCCTGCCGCGCAGCACGCTGGAATTTCGGGCGGGCCACTATCAGCAGCGGATCCAGCAGGACATCAGAAATAGCGAGATTACCAGCTGGATTGCGAGTAGCCCAATATCGAACTGGAAGCGGACGCCGCACGCTCCAGAGACTCCGCACCGAGGAATCCTACACATTGCGTTTTCGTATGTCTTGTGTGTGTGTGTGTGTGTGTGTGTGTGTGTGATGTGTGCAAGTATTACGATGCGGAACGGATGCTCCAGATTTCGTAATAAAGGGAGGGGGGTCTCATTTCGGGGGGGGGCCTCTTCCAGGCTATCTTGGAGGGCCCGGGGGGGTCTGGGGACGATGTTTTGGAGGGTTCTCCCACGGGGGAGGTCTGACATGGCTTGTCTTGGAGGGTCCAGACCCCCTCCCTTTAAAACTACGACATCTGCAGTACTTGTTTTCCCTCTGCCGGCTCCCTGGTTCGGAGGGCCCCTGTGCGCTCGGGCTCTCTGGGCCCGGCCAAGAGCGACGCCCAGTGCACCCCTTCTGCTGTCGAGGGAAGCCCGTGCCTGCCACGCCCCGCGAGCCTGGCCCCGTGACGCATGCAGGGGGAGGAGGAGAGGAGGAGGAGGAGGAGGAGGAGGAGGAGAGGAGGATGAGGAGGAGGAGGAGGAGGATAAGGAGGAGGAGGAGGGAGGAAGGAGGAAGGAGGAGGAGGAGGAGGATGAGGGACGAGGATGAGGGAGGAGGAGGAGGAGGATGAGATGAGGATGGATGAGGAGGAGGGAGGGAGGAGGAAGGGAGGAGGGAGAGGAGGGAGTATGAGGGAGGAGGAGAGGAGGAGGAGGAGGAGAGGGAGGAGGAGGAGGATGAGGAGGAGGGGGAGGAGAGGCGGCTGAGGAGGGAAGGAGGAGGAGGAAAGGAGGAGGAGGAGAGAGAGGATCGAAGGAGGAGGAAGAGGAGGAGCACAGGGGCGGAGGGAGGGAGGGAGAAGGGAGGAGGAGAAGGAAAGGGGAGCACCCATTCCCGGCCCCGAGGGGACTTGCGGCGCCCGCCCCTCGAAGCCTGCCACGCCCCTGCGAGCCTTGGGCCCGGAGGGGGCTCCACCCTCTGGCAGGCTTCCCCCTTCTGGTGTCGAGGGAAGCGCCCTCCTCCTCCTCCTCTCCTCCTCCTCCTCCTCCTCCTCCTCCTCCTCCTCCTCCTCCTCCTCCTCCTCCCCCTCCCTACTCCTCCCTCCCCCTCCTCCTCCCCTCCCCCGTCCCCCTCCCCGCTCTCATCCCTCCCCCTCCCCCTCCCCCTCCTCACGCCTTGCATGCCTGGCGCGGATAGAGACCCCCCCCTGCGAAGTTCCTGCAGGTGTCAAGAGAATGCCGTGGTTGCCACGCCCTGCGAGTTTGGCGCGGAGAGGGGCCCCGCCCTCTGCGCAGCCGTTCTGGTGTCGAGGAGATGCCACGCTCTACGAGCCAGGCGCAGATGGAGACCCCACATCCTCCTCCTCCCATTTGTTCACCATTGCCTCACCCTGCCCTCCTCCTCGTTCTTGTCTTCCTCCCTCAATTTCCTCCTCCTCCTTCACCTTCTTGTCCTTCTCCCCTCCACATTCTTGTCCGCGCCCCGGGCGCCGCGACCGCCCCCGATGCCGCCGAAGTTGCCCGGACTGTATTCCATCAGTAGTCTGATGTTCCCCTTGCGTTCTTGCGCTTTTGTGGGTCGGCCCCGTGTGCCTTCCTTCTTTCCTTGCCCTGGCACTGGCTCCCCGCTTCTTCTCTTCCCTCCCTCGCTCCCTGTTCCCCGTCGTTCCTTTGTGCGTGTGGGTGCGTGCCCTTTCCCTTGTGCCCTCTGTCCTCTCCTCTCCCTCCCGCTCGGCTTCCCGTGATGCTCTGAGCCTCTCAGATCGTCTCGGGCCGCGGGAAGCCTGAAGAGGTGAGAACCGCGAAAACCGGCAACGAGCTCCTGGGAAAGACAATGTCTGTGGCCTCGTGAAGCCCTCTTGAACGTCATATGTGGAGAGCCTCCAGGGCTGTCTTGGGGCCGCCTTGGATCGCCGCTATGTCACCATAATCAGGAGGGAAAAAACACACAGACACAATTAATCGTCGATCCCCCAGAACATATGGGGAAGATATGGGCAGTGGGGGGGAAGACAGAAGCCCAGAAAACATGGGAAAATAGGGGGAATCCTTTTATCTGTGTGTACTTATTTGGGTGTCCTGGGGCCCCTTCACATCGCGTAGGAGGAGGAGGAGGAGGAGGAGGAGGAGGAGAAATAGGAGGAGGAAGAGGAGGAGCAAGGGGCATGAAGATGATGAGGCGGAAGAGGAGGAGGAGGAGGAGGAAGAGGAGGAGGAGGAGGTGAGGGAGAGGAGGAGGATGTCACCATAAGTCGTATTGGAACGCTTTTGCAGTCTTCGGCGCTTATTTTTGGTGGCCCCCCTTGGGACCTCTTGGTGGCTTGTTCCTGGTGGCCCGGTCATGCCTGTCCCGGACTGTCCCCCTGTCTTCCCCTCCCCTCCACCCCCCACACAACACACCCCTCCTCCTCCTCCTCCTCCTCCTCCTCCTCCTCCTCCTCCTCCTCCTCCTCCTCCTCCTCCTCCTCCTCCTCCTCCTCCTCCCCCTCCTCCTCCCCCTCCCCCGCCCCCCTCCCCCTCCCTCCCCCCCGCCACAACACTCACCCCTCCTCCCCCGCCCGCCTCTCCACTCTCCTCCCATGCCCCATACCCTCCACTCCCCCCACTCTCCCCCTTCCCTCCCCCCCTCCCTCTTGCCCTCCCCGCCCCCGCCCCAAATTCCCCTCCCCGCCCCCCTCCTTTCCTCTGTCTCTGTCTCTGTCTCTCTCTCTCTCTCGTTCGAGAGCTATAGGATGATGGCCCACGGTGTCCACGAGCCCTCCGCCCCCGCCGCCGCCCGCCCCCATGGGCCAGGCGGGCCCCCTCGGCCGGCGCCCCCCCTCCCCGGGCCAGCGGGCCGGGGCATGGCGGCGCCGCGTGGCCGCGGTGGCGTGGGCCTGTACCTGG